GAGTCCTCAAAAGGCAGGCCAATATGCAGAAATTCAGAAGGATTCTTTGCACATGGTGGTTTTCCAAAACAATTCTGAATTTTATAGGGAACCAAGAAAAAAGCTCTACCTGCTCCTGCATTCAATCCTGCCTAACTGTGCCCAGTATTATATTACAATGGACACACAGGGTTACATCTTCCACCTGCACACTGAGCTGCTCTTTTTCAACTAGGCTTTTTCTTTAGCCTTATTCTCTAGCTAGAACAGGCTTAAACGAAGTGGGTATTTATTTATTAATTGCTGCAGAGTCAGCTAAAAATATGTTTGACCCTAGTAAGTGTCATTCTCATTAGCAATGAAGAGTTTGCTCTCTGCAAAATCTAACATGGAGTGCTTAAAGCAGACAGGTGCAAATTACAAGCTGTTCCTCTTTGGCTGCCATCCCTTAAATAGACAAAGTAATAGGCTAAGGAGAAGGGAAAAGTTCCAGCTCCAGCTGCATAAAGGAAAGCCTTAACAGGGACTTAGCAGCTGGTTGCAAGAATTAAATGCTGTAAATACCAACTAACACATTTGTGTGTGTGCATTCACAGAGGAACGTTTTTAGGAATGTTTTTAGTAAGGCTCCATCTCTTTTTGTGCGAGAGGATTGTTCTTTGAAAACCGTGCTCTGCTTTATGTTGAAAGGCTAATGCTCTTGCTGAAATGAATGAGAACAGAGGCCAACATACCTGTTCCTGTTTACCATCATTACGCTCCTTAGAGCATTTCAGACATTATTAGATTCTTGGAGCCCTACCAGATTGACAATATTTCCAGCTACTTCTCTTTTGGCTGTATTCAAACAAGGCCCCAAAGGAAAAAAAAAACCCAAACAACCAACCCACAAAGAAAACCATGGATGAATCTGCTGAGCTAGTTTGCTGATGTTAGAAACAGTTGTTCATATTAAGAACACCTAATTTAATTTCATGAAAGAGACATAACATGCCAGTATGTGTATGAATCTAAGGTATGCATTTCCTAAAAGGAACTAAAACTCTGTCATTCCAAAGTTGCTCTTCTTTTTGACTTCCAGCTTGCATGGGGACTGCTGTCTGGAAGCAGTAACTTTAACTTTAACTCTAAGGCTGCTGATGAGGTCTGTCTGTGTGATCTTCGTAAGCAGATAAGGGTAGGGAGACAGCTCAGAGCAGAGCTTGTTTACAGCAGGACAGAAGAAAACAGCTAGACATAAATGAGGGCTGACGGTTTCATGAAGCACAATTGGTTGATCACAGATTCAATATGACTTCCCTGAACTGAGCGATGATCCGTACAGTATGCAAAATTCACTTTCTTGCTGGTCTGTGCCCACCAGCCTTCCAGCAGCTTTCCCAGAGCCCCTCAGCCACGGCTTTGAGTGGAACCAGAGCTGAACGCAGCATTGTTGTACCCAATTCTTTTTGACAACAATCACATTCTTTTAAAAACTTCATAGGTTTTAGTTGTCACTGGTTATAAATGAGGGTTTTTTCCCTTGCCGTTGCTGCTGTTGCCGCTGTTATTGCGGCGCTCGCTGCTCTCCTGCAGACCGGAGCACTGCAGGTTCTGGTACTCCTGGTTTTCCTTTGTTTCAGTTGGTATTGGAAAGCAGGCGGTGCGTTTTAATGACGATGGCATGCAAAAAGGCATTTAAAGGTTTAGGTCACTTTTTGAATGACATGGTGATTAGTCTGCGCTGTGCTCAGATGATTCTAACTCCCCTTGTCTTTGCTGCAATGCAGCACGCTCAAGGTAAAAAGGTATAATTTTTTTTAAGTTAAAAGACAAGACTTTTTGGTTTTCATCAACTGTGGTGGAGCTTTGAGATAGGTTGAATTGCTATCATTGAATCACCCTTTAAACTCGACTTTGCAAGCAAAGGGCATCCCCTTTGTATGTGCTGGTTGTGGATGGGCAGGTCTGACATGTATCGTTTGTGGATACAAGTTGGGTCACCTCCACAGCAGGTGTAAACCAGCACAGGCCTCAAGTTGTGTAATTCTGATTCTTTGTAGAAATGTTTTTCTACGTTTATTTTTTGATAGTATTCTATAATTAGAATGGTGGCTTTTTGTACAGATGTGCACTCGTGTGTTTACCTAGGTATGCTCACACAACTGGACTTTGCCTGCAAATAATGGCAAGTGGTGACTGAAAGAGTTTTATTTAATTTGCTATTGCAAACCTAAGTTCTGCAGGTACATGTGAACTGATTAAAGAACAATTGCTTTAGACATAAATTTGCATAAATACATAAATTAACTAGTAGTGACTAACAATAAAATAAATGTAAAATGCCACCGGATAATTTCTTGCCTATTCTCTGTTGAGAAAGCAAAGTATCATAAGGGTAGGGGGGCTTGGGAAGGAAACCTAAAATGAATTGGGGGTGGGGGTGGGAGTGAGTGTAATTTACACTACTTAAGTGCTCATGTGTAAAAGACAGAAGGATGAGGAAATTGGCTGGAGATAGGTATGAAAGGAAAATGTCTTCTAATTTCCTCTGAAGCACAAAGTGACAAGAACATGTGTTGATTACACAAAGTCCGCTACCGAAATACTCCATTATTCAGTCATGTCGAGAAGTAACCCTGGAAGAATTCCTCTCTGCTGCTGAAAACTATGTGTTGTTTTCATTCTAAATATATGAACTCATGAAAAGCACCTTTTCAAAACCTGATCACATTAAGGGACAAGGGCATAAGATCTTTTGAAATTCTTTGTAAATAAGTAAGGAATCACAAGCCTGTTACATTAACTACTTAAAAATACTAATTTGCATTTGAGGGAGTGAAGTGCCAAAGAATGTAGTCTATTGTGCCCCTGAAAAAAACAAAATTTGGTGCTAACTATACTGAATATTTAAAAAAAAAAAAATCAACAAAAACAACCCTAGAAAAAAAACTAAATCAGAACAAAAAAACGCCAAACAAACAAACAAAAAAATCCCCAAACACACACACACAAAAGCCCATTCAAAACATCAAAATCTGCTATGCATCTTTATTAGATATGGGGGAGGAGGAATACTTTTTTCTTCTTGATCTGAAAGTAGCTTATGCATTTTACAGACTATAACAACTAAAAGTTGACTATGGCCAACATAGCCTGTGACTGGTTTTGCTAGGGAAAACTGACATGCAGAAGGAATACATAGAATGTAATGCAGATCATCTTCATTCTGTCAAAGTTATGGATGTATACCGATTTACACCAGTTGAAAATTTGTCCCAGAATTTTTATCTAGATATTATTTTCTGTAGATGTTAACATAAAGTTTAAGGTTTTGTGTGCTGATTATATGCAGCATAATAAGAATAATTATCACACAGCAGTGTTACAAATATTGCTGGAAATCTTT